AGAAGCGAAGCGTATCAGCCCAGCCACAAGCGCTTAACAACCCTCGCACGGCTTACGGGACCCCAGGGTGCTGGAAACTTGGAATAGTTTGGGGCTTTTCTTTTGTGTGTGGGTAGATGCTCCTGCTTCCTCCCAGCCCCAAGCTTTGTGAACAAGCCCGCAGTTAATCGTGGAATTTCAAACATGCGTGTTTACTTTCAGGAACCTAACTTTAGACTTCACCAGCTTGCTTTCATCTAAACCAGCTCAGTTTCCCATATTTCACTGGCTGGGGATGGTTTGTGGGGAGTGTTTCTTTTGTGTGCTTACCCTGTAAGGCCTCTTGGGAGCTTCAGAGACTGGTGTATTTAAGAACTTGGCAATAACTCTGCATATGTGGTCTGTTTATATAATGATAAAGCTGTGTTAGAGTATTAGAAGTTTCCTAGTAGTGCTGAGTTGCTTTACACCTAGGTTTTACTCTAGCTTGTAAAAGTACCCACTGGCCTGAGGAGCACTGGTTCTGGCAGGGGCAACACTAAACTTTGAATATTGGGCAAGAAATAACAGCTCTTTTTAGTCCAGAAAAGCAGTATCACGGTAAGTTACTGGAACTGATTCTTAGCTCTGCAGGGAGGGTGTCCCTGGGCAATGGGTGGAGGTGAGTTCTTCCGTCCTACCCAGTGAGCCTTGGTGGTGACAGGACTTACTCTGAAAATCAGTGCAGGGGACTGTGCTGCCTGGACCAAAAACCACCCTGATGTGCAGGTAAGGCCAAATGTAACAGTCCTTGTGGGGATGTGACCATTTACCCCCAAATCCCAAGCACTGCAAATCCCTCTTAAGCTTAACATACTCTGATTTAATTATTAATAAATCTGTTCATGTGTCTAAACCTGCTGACTATTTCGTAGAGCGTCCTGCAGTACATGTGCCGTTAAGATTATATCCTGCAGCCAGATTAGATTAAAATCACTTCAAAGATGGGTATTTATTTATTTATTCCAATCTAATGATTGTTTTCTTCTAGAAATGTACTTTATCTTTTTATAAATATTTTCAAGGCAGAGCTCATTGTGCTGTGTTTGGCAGTATACAGAATCAGTTTAAAATACAATTTTAAAACTTTAAAGGTAGTAGTTTTACAGCTGCCCTCCATTGCTGGGTGCCAAAGCCTATCTGTCACCTTGCTCTCTGGTTTGCAGCTCACCAGTTTAGGTGACAGTGTTACCGAGTCTGGCATAGTGCAAAAACCCCCTCTGTTCCGGATTCACTGTGTCCGTTCCAGTTCCCCCAGTAACACACCGCCCATCCTCGGAGGCGCTGGGGCAGTAGCCCTGCGGGGAGCTTTGCCAGGTGCTGGTGCCCACACAAGTTGCCACCATGAAGCCAAGTCTGCTAGTGAGAAGTCTTGATGTGCCAAGTTCAGTTCATCTCCCGCTCTGGACTAATTAGAAGCAATAAAGCCGAGCGCAGGAGGGGATGATGGGCCCAGCTGCCTTTGTGTCAGGACCCTGCACTGCCGACCTGAGGTCGCGCGTAACAGCAGTTTGAGACAGCCATTAATGCTCACCTCAATCCCAAATACAATCCTTGGGGGGGATTTTAGTTCATTTTAGCTGGGTGCTATGTTGGAGTTGTCTGCACAAGCTTGTGCTGAAGAAGAGTTGGGTCAGAAAGTAGTAGTCAGGTGCTGAGTCTCTCAAAGGGAATGAATGTTAATTAATTTCTAACAAAAAAAAAGAGTGAGCTTGTTTGTAAAGATATTTCAAATGTGTTTGTTTTCAAATACTGAGATCTCGATTTTTAAAAACTATATTAATTTCATAGAGAACAAAAATTGGAGCAGGATTTTAATTATAATATGGAATTCAGTGATGGAGTTATGGTCAGCACTTCTATATAAGTCTGAATTTCTTTTTTTACTGCTCAGCAGTGACCTAGATGGCATCAATTTGGTTATTGCAAATCAAGCTAAAAGAATGATTTTATGCTTCTACTTAAAATGATTTTTTTAAGTCCAATATTTCCTTTAACATTATTATTGCCACCCCAGTCTTTTATGAACCTTTGGCATCACCTAAAATGATTATTTGCCTGCGGGAACAACTTGCTTTTATAGCCCTCTCTAAAACATTACTCTCTATATTGGAGCTAAAGCTTCTGTAAATACATGTTTTGACCTTCAAGTAAATACTGCTATCTTATCGCAGAAGCCTGGCTATTCTGAGTTGAATGCTGTGACCACTCTTAATCACTTGTTCTCTCTCCTAATGTGCCATTATCCTGTTTATTGCTGTGTGCGTGGGGCTGAGCCTCTCCATGGCACTTCAGCAAAAGAGTCGCAGTTTTCAGGCTATAATGAGCATTAATGACAGAGCAGGTGAGCAAACCCTCCGCATATCTCGCTGTCAGAAATGCTGCTTGTTCAGTCAAAGAGCACGTTGAGTGCAGTGCTGCGCTACAGAGCGCTTTTCTCTCTTTCAAGGCTGCACACAAACTTGCCATCAGTGAAGTAATGTTATAGATACCGAGCTCCTTTGGCCGTGCAGGGATGGGAGGTAATCCTGGGCTGGTGTCAGGTATTACTGGAGTGAAAGGTAAATGCTTAGGTGAATATGGGACTGGTGTGATCTGATGGTTTTCTGACTACAGTGAAGGCTCTTTAATTTTGTTTGTCTGCTTTTCACTGAGGTCTTGTTTTTGCCAGTCTTCTGAAGCTGATGAAATGAGGAAAAAAGCAAAACACAATTACTATTTTTTCTTGCTGACTGTGAGTGTTTCGGTTGCTTACTCAGGTAAAGCTTTGGCAACTCACGGTGGTTTTGTCTTCTGATTAAAAGGAGCTGGATTCTCTTTTTGGTCTTGCTGGGCATGATTTGGGGCAAGAAACTGCTGCCCACAGGCTGTTTGCAAAGTTTCACTGAACATTGCGTACTTACAGTCGTGAATTAATCTCATCTATAAAGGTCAAGCAACTTCTCAGTTCCTAAAGCAATTCCTTTTAAGTTGTGGATGTGACAGGTCTTCCATCATCATTTCTGAACACCTTCTGAAAGATTCCAAGAACTCCACCTCCTACAGAGGGCGAGAAGAAAATCCGGGTTTAGATTTATTTCACAAGATTTTACAACTACATATCTTGGACTTCGTTACTATCTCCTAGGAATGAAATGGAGAACGACATAAACTTGTTGCGCTGTCGGCCCTGCAGCTTGGTGAGGTCGCGAGTTTGCTTCTGACGACACTGCGTCGCTGTTAACCCTGAGTGGGTAGGGTGAATGGGCAGTAGTGTGGAGTTATCAAGCTGACATTCAGTGCCCAAAGCTATTTTTAATTGTTAGACCTAATGGTCTCGCTCAGCTTTTGAGAGCACTTGCACAGTGAAGATGCAGAAGTTTTCATAAATTAGTATTTGTATGAGATTTCTTGGCTGTTGGTTTAATCAGCCTTTGTGTGTCGAACCAAGGAAATGCATATAAACACGGAGCTAATGAATTCTACACAGTGAGTAATTGCTGTGCTATAGGAAAGCTTTAAGTCCACACTGTTCGCTGTATTGCTGCGGGTATTCCTTGGGCGGTCTGACTTGCAACAGTGGTCTGAGGTTAGGTTTCAAATTAAAGTCTTTAAAACGTCCCTGCAGAGAAATCTGCTTTTGGAGCTTTCTGGAGCGTGAAGATGGTGGTGCTATCCAGGACACAGTGTTGACATTGCCACATCAGGTGTCATCCAAATGCTTCACATTGTTTGTGCGGTCCTCGGCAGTGCGACTCTTTTCGGAAGTGGCCTCTGTGGGGTTTCTGCAGCCGTGGCTTCTCATGCTGGTCTCAAGCTTTCTGCTTCACCTGTCTTGATCTTTGAATGCCTCCCCAGTTGTTTTAACTGGGGTTTTGAAGCAATGACTGAAATTAATAGATTTTTAAGCCTTCAGCTCTTCAAGTTTTGGGGGCCATATAACACCCCAAGCCCTTTCTAGCTGCTCCTTAGGTGTTTTGGCAAAAGCGCTCCCTGTATAGCGGCACTGATGCTTGAGGAGATGTGGGCAAGGAGGAGAAGTCAACTGATTTCTCCAGCTTGGCTCAGCTACCCTGTTTCCCAGAGCTTTCTGAAGCGCTGGTGGCTGGCTGTAGCTTGGACCAGTAGCTGTGGCAGGGGGGGATTTGAGCAGGGACTCGGACCAGTTGGCCCCTAGATTTCCAACTTAAATTTCTCTCCAGAATTCTAGTAATGTTGGGAGACTTTGAGCCTGAGTTAGCATTGTTGCTGGGACCCCCCCTTTGTGTGCCAATGATGGGATTTGAGGGTAGCTGTGCAGTGTTTATATCTAAAGAGCTTTAGTGCTCTCTGCATTCGTTTTGAGGTTTGATTTCCTAAATGCTGAACCTCCGCAGTAGAGGATGGTGGCACCTCTGCAGCTCCTTTGTGCAGAAGGCATGTTTTGCCGTTTGTCTAACGCAGAGCCGTGCAGGTTAGCGAGTCTCCTATGAAATGAAGGAAGTTGTAGCCATTCATCTTTCAGCCTAATGGACCACAGAAATTACAAGCTGTAGCATGCAGCTTAATCTTGCCACAAGGCAGAGTGCTGCATACTTTGCCTTCAATTTATGCATGCCGTGCCTTTTTATTAAATGTAAAAGAGCAGTTGACAGGATTTCTCCAGAGGACTTGCTTTGGCTATACCTGGTAGATAGCCAGCACATTTCAATATATAGTAAAATGAATGATGGTGGTTTTTTTACCCTCCATAACAACCACCTTTGAAATTTGAGGACAGAGTTACGGACTATCCTCTGGGTGTCAAGCAGCAGAGGAGAGCAAGACAGCTGTTTTAGTTTTAACCCTGCAGATGACCCACTTCTTGAAGTATTTCCGTTGCCGTTAAAAGATGCGGTGAGGGCCGGAGCAGCGGTTGCGCATCTGTGCTTGGTCAGGCCTTCACCCAGGGATGGCTCTTTGCCGCTTTCTTTTCTCTGTTCCTCCTTGTATTATAACTTTGAATTGTCTCTCTGTTGTTGCAGTGTGCAGAGGAGTGAATGCCCCATGTTGTGTTAGTGCCTGTCTGCCATGCTGGCCTGTCTGCCAGGACCAGGTGACCTCTCCTTTCAGCTTCTTTCTTACACGCAGATGAACACTGGACTTCAGAAATGTGAGTGACGTTTTGTCTGCAGGATGTGGTTAACTGTTAAATCTGGCTCTGGTACAGCTGTGACATAAACGTTCAGGATACAGTGGAAAAACTATTTAATGTTAGAGTCTTTCTTTTGTTATGCCTTCAAGGCATCCATCAATAATGGCTCTGAGAAATCGCTGTGGAGGTTCACGTGTGCTCAGCAAGCTCTCCCCCCTTTCCTGGCTTTATAAAGGTTAATTTTAACCACAGCAAGATGAAATGCAAGTGAGGTTTCTGTGAGATTCATGCCTCTGCTGAAAACATTTTGTGCTAAAAGTGTGCCAGCTGACTTGCTTCTTAACACAACTTTTTCCTGACTCCTTTTCACTTCCATTCGTTTAATTACTCGTAGACACCGACAAAAGGTGGATCAGGCTAATACAAACCTTTTGAGGTCAGCAGCTCTGTTGTTCTACATACCTGGGGCATATACTGCAAATATTAGTGATCTAGCCCGAATTACTAAAGTTTAGAGTTTCCATCTTCTTTCTGATGTCTCTTTGGTGCCTCTGAAAATATGTCTGCAGAGTACTCTGATAATTCTTTTTTGATAACTTCAGTCATTTTTTTGATAGTTGTACTAGTATTTTTAAGAAGAACTTAAGTTTAGGAATGTAAGTTTACTGGCTAGAGATTTTTTTTAAAATCTTACTCTGTTTCTCCTCTTTATCACTGAAGGTGCACATTGATTGTTCAGCTGAAATTTCGGGAATACCAGGGTTTCTACATAAGATCTGTGTACTTGATTCTTAGGGCTGTGACCTCGCTGTTGTTTTTTGAAATGTGCATTGGGAGATCTCTGTACTCTCAATTTGCTGATGGATTCGTTGCTCTTTAAAACCAAGTAATTTACACTCCAGTTATAGCTAAAATTATTATGTTAAGACTTGTGATGCTACTGAAAATAGGTAAGATAATTTTGCACTTAAGGATGACGTGCTTTATGTCCTGCCACAGGGGAATGACACTGTTCACGTACACATGTGTGCTCCCCCACAGCACTTACACTGACTCCACAGGCTTGGTAATTGTGACGTCACTTTCAGCAATAGTAGAAATCTTTACTTACAAAAGGACTTTATTAGATGACGTGAAACTGGGCACTCCCCTCCTTTCTCTTTTCCATTTCCAGTTCAAGCTTTGCTGACCAAAACATGCTTGTTCAAAAGGTAGGCTGCTGCGGTGAGAACATCACTAGGTCCTTGCATTACGTGAAGTTTCTTTGGTGGATCGTAAAGCTTAGTCCTGAAAGCAAATTGTTGAGGTTCATGCGAGAGTAGCTGTGCATAAATCAGGTATTTGCTAATTGCATATTTACGAGGCAACGTGTGGGCAGTTTCTTAACCTGATGGTACCTGATGCTGTTTCTGAGAACTGCTTATCCCCATGCTGAAAGCGTTGCTGTATCCTGCTTAGCGAAGAGCTTCGGGTACTGCATTTAAAAGAATTTAGGACATAAAGTAGCTGGCAGGCACTGGCTGGCAGTGGTAATGCTCAGCTGTTCCAGTTTGTTCTGATTTATATGGAAAATGAAACTGCTCGTACAGACCTTGCTCACCCCCGCTGCAGATGTGCGTAAGAATAATTGGTGCATTTCTCTCCATACTGTATATGCACAAGTAGTCTAGCCCCTGGCCAAAGGAAAGCTGAGTTAATGAGCATTTTTAATGAACGGTGACTTGTGACTTTTGATGGGGGGGTTGGAAACGGGCTTTAATAATAGTGCTATTGCTTTTATAAAAGGCACAGAACTCCACATGATAGCCTTTATTCAGATTTATGATGTTTGTATTAATAATTTTTTAAGTGTAGTTTTCTGGATCAGACTTTTTATTAACGCTTAAAAATCCACATTAGCTTAATTATCTTTTTTTTCTTATTCACTTTCAAATAAGAGGCTTTTTTCTTAAAGGTGGTCTGTGCAGTAGGAGTTTTATAGATTAATATGCACATATTTTTTTCCCTTAGAAATTGATCACTACAGGACTTCCAATTTCAGTATTTTTCTTTGAATTCCAACCTTCATCACAGGCTAACCCTGCAATTCATCCCTATCCACTCAGGGGATCTCTCACTGACTCAGTATTGCTATTCTCTCCTTCCTCCCAGTGACTCCAGTATAAACCTGACCAGTCAATCCAAGATACTTGAGGCAAGGTTGTTTGGGCAGTATCCGCAGCCGCTGTTGGACATAGCAGCAGGGCCTGGGAGAAAAAAGGGTGATTTTTCATGACAGAGGTGCAAAGTCACGGTGAAAGGTACTTCTTGGAGAGCTTTTGGGGGCGAACAAGAGAGGGCAAGTTGGGACTGAATGTGGGGTCATCAGCTAAAATCGAGTCCTTTTTAGGGGCAAAGGCTCTTTCTGTAAAGCCTGTAGAGACACTGCTGCAGTTGAGATTTTTATGCAGAAGATGGGCACAGCTGTTTTTTGCTTGTCCCAACACCGATGCTCTCATTAGGGTAGGAATCCTGAAGGCCGGTTTGTATTTTGTTTAATGTTAATGAAAATTTAACCGTAGGCAGTTTTAAAAGCGGTGGGTTTTAAAGCCTTAATGTGAGATACACTTAAAACATGTTACATTAGTGCTGAGGTGAGGCAGAGAAATATATCTCATTTCATGATAAAAATAGCTCCAGCGGTGAGACGTGCACAGGAATGTGACCAGACGAATTGGTTGCCACGGGATTAGTGGGAATGTGAACTTGCAGCTCACCAATTTATTGGGGTAATTGCTCATAGGAACAGCTTTACCTTATAGTAAACATGAAATAATTACTTTTCAACAAAAGTCTTCTGCCTTGCATTTGCCATTAGGTAACTTTGTGAAGCTCATCTCATTGTTTTCTTAACGTAGCTTGTTCATCTGCCGTCTTTCTCGTCATTTTATGGCCCGATCCAGAATTCTTGCACTTGCAGACGAATTATGAGTATATTCTAATACCAGCAGTTTCTTTTGGTCTATCCTAGCTGTTTCTCCATTCACTTAGTAGCCAGACCTAATTGTTCTTTACTGGTTTGTAGGATATTTGTACAGGATATTCAGACTCTTGCTCACCCCATAATGCCTTTCTCCTAATTTTTTACTGCCTTAATTATTCTAGTCATCAAGTCTTGCCTATGGAACTACTAGTAGAGCACATTTTAAGCAGCACGTTGGGAAACTTGGAAATAAATCACCTTGGTCAGACCTAAGGAGAACGGCTGAGTTAGTCAATAGTAAAAGGAACATAATCTTAGCTGTATGCAAAACGGGCTCTGTTTGAAATGGTGGTTGGTTTCAGAAGATCCTGTCTGAGGGATTTAAAAGATGGTTTGCCATTTGGTAACATGCCAAACTTGATGATAGTGCATCATTTAAGTTTCACTAAGAGGTTGTTTTCTCTCGTCAGAGGAAAGAGTTCTTACAGATTCGGGATTACAGATGTGCTGTAACCGATAGCTGCAGCCTGTTCAGACATTGACATTTTCGCTGCTTTCTAAAAGCTTCCATCACAGTTCCCATGTAACAGGAAAAAAAAATTGCTTGTGTAAAAGAATATTTAGTGTATCTGCTCAGTGCTTATATTTGCCACCTAATTTGCTGATATGCCTATAGAAATGTAAACCAGGCTGGGAAGTTTTGATGGTAAAGGTGTCTTAAAGTATCTACGTAATTTTTCATCTGAAAATAAAACCTTTATGTGACAATGGCTGTAACCGTAAGACAGACAGGAGTGGATTCCTTTGTCTGTTGTTGATGGTTCTTCTCTGATTCACGGTGAGTTGCAAGGGTGGTCTCCTGGGGAAGAAACAGAACTTCATGAGCATGGGCAATGCTAAAAATAAAGGTTGGGAAGCTCCTGAAGGCCTTGGCTGTTGGGGCACAGTAGTACTGGCAGAGTCCATTTGGAGGCTCTCCTCTCCGTTAGGAGCATAGCAGCTCCCTCAAAAGGACAGTCAGAAACCACCTGCCTGCAGCAGAGTATGAACAGAGAGGATGTTCAGGTTAATACCAAATGAATATTTCCTTTGATTAAGAAAAAGGGTGGTATGTGTTTGGACAGCACAGAGAGTAAGGATACATGCTGTGCTAAAAACACAGGACAGCCCACTTGCAAAGCTTCTCATTTCACAAAAGATATTTTTAATATTTCTGTAATTATCATTTTTCTCTTGGTATCCATCCTATTTGCCATATTCTGGCCCTTACTTTCTAAAAGTGAGTGCTCTTAGAGCAGTACTGCTCTCCCTCATTTGTGAAGACTGGAAGCTGCAGGATGCAAAGAGAGAGATGGCTGGTACTCAGACTTGAGCTGTATTCAGGAGCCTTTTGGAGGTAATTTGCTTAAAAGAACCAGAGGGGTTTTCAAGAGGAAGGGCTGTTTGCCTCAGAGCATCGAGCTTTTTACTGGAGCATTAGATTTCCTTGGGTCAGAGGGCCAGATGTGGGGCTGGGGAGCTCTTGGGCTCTGGAGGAGCTGGCTGCTGTGTTTCCCGTTCTTTCAGCAAAGCAGCAGATGGCATGGGGACACTGAAAATTTTAGCAAAAAAGGATGGGCTTTTTTTTTTTTCCAGTAAAGGATGGGCATTTTTTTTCCCAGTAAACTGTTTGCTGGGGGGGCGGGGGGGGGAATCAAGCAAAAGCAAAATCGGATTGTCAAAGCTGCAAGCCATTATTTGAAGATTATAAAATCACTTCTAAAGCAGTAGTCCCATAGGAGTTAAGCAGCAGAGCTGTGGTAGGGGAACAGCCCAACTTTCTGCTTGGAATATGATTATAGTGAGAGACACACAAGCATTTCCCTAGATTTCTGAAGTTCTTTCCAGAAGCACTTTGAGCTTGTGGGCAAGGTAGGTATCTGGTAAATTGGAGTAAGTGAGACCGCACCCCTGTCTCCAGAAGTCTTTTGTCTGTGTCTGGGGAGTAGCATGTTTTTAATCTTACGGGTTAATCACGTCATTTTGCTGTGTGATACAAGGATGCTGTCCTTAGCAAGGTGCCACACTGAAAATTCAGCTGAAGAAGTAATTGCAAGCCATAAAACAACGCACGTGTAGCCTCCTTCCATTTGCTGAACTTGGACTGACAAGGGCTTCCTAATGGACAAAAAGACACTCAAAGTGCTTTCAGATGTCAGCATCTAGAAAAGAACTCAGATGTAAATGGAGGCTTGAGCTGAAGTGCTTCATATGGTTCCCACCTCAGCATTACACAGGTTTAATGTTTAATTCATAACTTTCTGATTTCTGAATTACATGGTAAAGATACTGAGAATGGCTTGAAGAGCCATGGGGAGGCAGCCTTAAATTAAGAGAATAGACACTAGCCCACCACCGCAAGCTGTAAGAAATATTTCAGTTGGAGACAGTCTGATGTTTATAGCATGTTATCTGTTTCTGTCCAACCGTAAACATGGTTTTGTTTTGCTCCCCTGGGCAGGCCTTGCCCTAGGCTGAACTGGGGATTGTGTTGGTCACCAGGTAATAAAGGGAATGAGGTACCTGGTACACGATCCGCTGGTCTGGGAGGATGAAGTTCTTGCCTCTTGATTCCTTGGAGATTTTCTACCCTTGTCGTGCAACTCTCTTGCCCTAGGGTTGATCCCTTGCTTACCAGAATCGGTATTGACGAATTTCCTTTCTCCGCAGGGGACACTACACAGAAAATGAGATCTGCACAGTATCCTACCCCAGCAGAATTGGATGCTTATGCTAAGAAGGTCGCCAACAATCCACTGACTATAAAAATCTTTCCAAACAGTGTCAAGGTTCCCCAGAGGAAACACATACGCCGTACTGTGAACGGACTTGATACTTCGGGCCAGAGGTACAGTCCCTACCCGTCTCAGGCCACCACGAAAACAGGCCTCCTGGCGATAGTCAAATCTCCAGCAAAAGGAATTATCAAAGACTTTGACGGGACACGCGCGCGCCTGCTGCCGGAAGCAATGATGAATCCCCCTTCCACACCATACGTTGCACCTAGCACTTTAACCCACCCCCAGGCGCTTGCTCGCCAGCAGGCTCTCCAGCATGCACAGACTTTGCCGCACCCCCAGAGTATACCGCAGCCACAGACTTTGCAGCACCCTCAGGGTATACCACAGCCACAAAGCTTACCGCACCCTCAGGGGATACCGCAGCCGCAGACGCTGCCGCACCCTCAGAATATGCAGCAGCCGCAGGGCTTGCAGCATCCTCAGACCATGGCACACCAGACTCTGCAGCACCCCCCGAATCCTTTGCTGCAGCCGGGTTTACATGGAAGCAGAAAGATGCCGGATGCAGATGCGCCGCCGAATGTGACCGTGTCTACCTCAACCATTCCCCTCTCTATGGCTGCCACCCTGCAGCAGAACCAGCCACCGGACCTGAGCAGCATTGTGCACCAGATTAACCAGTTCTGCCAGGCCAGAGCTGGCATTAGCACTACCTCAGTCTGTGAGGGACAGATTGCAAACCCCAGCCCTATAAGTCGCAACCTGCTTATCAATGCAAGTACCAGGGTATCTACTCACAATGTCCCTACACCCATGCCTTCCTGTGTAGTAAACCCTGTAGATCATGCTGCTGCTGCTATTCCTCCTGCCTCTGTTAATGTGCCCATGGTGAATATTAACAGGGTGCCGCCCGCATACCAGAACGAAATCAAATCGGTTGCGTGGAACCAGCACCAGCTTGCGCATCTGCAGCAAATGTGTGGGGATGCTGCTGGGCCTGCTGGACTCGCAGGGAAGCACCCTCAGAGAGAGATCGCAGGGCAGAGTTTTCCTGGCAAAACTTCAAACTACCCTCAAGAACTGTGCATGGGCCAGTCGTTCAGCTTGAAGCCCCCCATCGAGAAGCCTACGCCTTCTCCACCTGTGAATGGGTTGCAGGGACCCTTGCCATATACCAATGGGCACTATTTCCAGCCCATCTGGAATAACATTCTGCCCACACCCAACAGTGACAGCTCTGGGTCCCAGGACCTCGCCATGCCTTTCCACGGGGGACAGCCAGCAGGAGCACCGCTAGATTGTGCAGGAGGAACTCATTACAGAGCTGGAGCTGGCCCATCCAGCCAGAATAATGTGATGCAGACCATGGATTACCTAAGCGGGGACTTCCAGCAGTCCTGCTTCAGAGATCAGAGCATGGCCGTGCTGGGGAAAGTCCATCGGCCTCCCATGAACCGAGCACCTGAACCAACCGATAGTCGAAATCTTCATATTCAACACCCAGGGTATAGATAGGCTGCAGTCACTTTCACAGACAAAAATTATAGGTTTAGTCTTAATTTTAATTAATAAGCAAGGCATTTTTAACTTGCAAACTTGTGTGATCATTATAGTAACCATTGGAAGAAGACATACCGTATATTTAAAAGCTTTGCTTACATGTTATCTATCTCCTTTATACATCAAATATTTAACATGCTTTTTGTTTCAAAGAATTTCATTACACTACGTCACGCCACAGCTGTTTCCTCACCGCAGAATCCCTTTCTTGCAGCTTTTGCCTTCTGCTTAGTAGCTACTTGCTGGACTGATGTTGAGTTGCTGCAGGGTTTCGCAGTTGCATCTGTTCGCCAGCTCCGTCAAGAGCGAGGTAGCGTAGCTGCTTAAATTTCCATCTCAATTTCCTCTGAAGATTAACAGCAACAGAATTTGTCAGGAAGCAGGGCTTATTTTCAACTCGAAAGCCCATTTCATTAATGCATTAAACATTGACCATTTGCACTGTCTAGAGGCCTATTTAATTGAAAAAGAAGCCTACATTTGAAAAGAGCTAGCTAGGGGTATGTATTTAGGCATTAATATAGGAAGAAGCTTTTCAGCTGTCTCTTGCCGAGACGCCCGTGTTTGTCGTTTAGACTTTGTCCAAAGCCAAAAGTCTCTGGCTGATTGATTTTTTTTTTTTTTTTTTAATTTTATTTTTTTGGCGGACAGGGTATGGAGGAGGGGGAATGGCAGTTTTGGGATGTAGGCAGCATAACTACCGTAGGTAACTGCCTTTTTTCTGCATCATATTTCCCTTCCCCGCTCCCCTTTCGCCAGCATAAGAGCTAACTTTGTCTGAACCCCTCGCTGCTAGGAGTCTGGCCGTCCTGATGTGAAGGGAATCCAGACCCACTGACAACTCCAAAAAGGGTTCAGCCGTTTCGCGGGTAGCTAGAATTAGTTTCAGGGCGAGGAGACGTAACTCAATCTCGTCTCCGGTGCAATGAGCGGGCGCGCGGGGCGGCGTGGTACGGCGCAGCCCCGTTCCGGCAACAGTACCGACGGGAGGCGGTTGATCTGAAGCGAAGCTCCGCTCACGAGACACTGTAGGACCAATGGTCCTGTATTCCTCTCCGTCAAAACTCCACAGCAGATTTAATGGAACAATTCTCGTCCCTGGGAATCAGCAAAGCTATTTATATCATCCCTTTTTCCCAGGGTCTCGGTGCCTAACTCCTTCTGTTCCTTTCCCACGTCACTTCCAGCAGCTAGTCGAGTCAGCGGCCATAGGACACTAACAATTGGGTAACCTCAGCATCTCGTTCTCCTCGGTGTACCGAAACATACCTTTCCTTTCTAACAGCCGAATTTGTTGTAAGTAAAAAATCTGACATCTCTGTTAACGAGACTAATACTTGAACATAATGATCACAATCAAGTTTGGAAATTAAAAAAAAAAAAATTAATAATAAAAAAAATAAATGCATTGATTCTTTATATGTACACTGGCTAAAAATATTGCTCTACACTGTAACTTTTAAGTGTAATATTTCTGTATGAATGTCGCCTGGTAGTGTGGGTTTGAGTAGCATTGTGTATGGGTGAACCCACTGGCCTCTGCCATCCACTGGCCTCCCTCACAGCCCTTTGAAAAAACAAAGCCTTAAGTATTTGCTCCTTGAACTTTCCTTAACGAGCATGGTTTAAAATCTTAAGACATCATACAAAAGTTAAAAAAGAAAAAAAATAACAAGTTTTGAAGTGACGTCATAGTTGGCTAGAGATTCTTAAAGTTTTTCGTAAATGGAAAAATTAGAAAACACTTATTTGTATTTTTTTAATTTAGACGTGTAGTCCTGGGCTGTAACAAATATTTAGGTTTCAAAGCTTAGCAGAGTACGTTTTCTGACTCCTTGCGTAAGTTAGTACACTTATATCATGTCATTATTTAAATTCTTTTAAGTGTACTATAAACCATTCTTTAGTGGTAACTCTTTAGCAAAGTTAAGCAATTTGACTAAAGACGGATTAAATTATGTGTTGGCTTGTGTTGCCTTATATTTAAAAAGGAAAAATTGCCTGATTGTGTTATGCCAAATGATAGCAACATGAAGTCCTAATTTATTGTTTATAATCGTATTCCTGCAGTCTTTGTGAAAACTGGTAAATATACATCTATGAAAGAACTAAAATCCTGAGGCTTTTCATGCAATATTTTTCTGAATCCGTTCTATTGGAAGCCAAGGTTTGAGTCTGAAGCTGCTTCCCTTACAGTCTCCCCATCGTCTTCCCCGTCCCGCTCCCCCAAATCGATCTAGGGCTGTGCTATGACTTTAACCTTTCCTGCCGAGTTAGTTACTGTAAGGTGTTCTGCTACCTGAATACATACCTTTTTACTAAATAAAATATTGGCATCTCCTCTGTTCAGTAGCCTGCTACAAATCTCGACCCAGACTGTTATTAAAAGCTGATTTTCTTCCTCCCGCTCTTTTCCCGAGAGAGAGAGACTTGAGTAGAGTCCCGCATCGTGGTGGTTGTGGAAGCGGTTTCAGTGCCGGGGAGGTGTTTGTGTTAGCGACGGCGAGTTGTTGGGGATTGTTCTGCACGGGCAGTCGCAGGTAGAGCCACCACCTCTGAGGCGCAAAAATACTCCCAAGACTCATCCAGGTGGGATGTTGCTTGAAAAATAGGAATCGTTTTACTATTAAAATATACCGAAATATTTCCTGTTGTTCTAGGAGTGAGATTTTTCTTTAGACCAACCCTTTTCACTTCTGCAGCAGCCTGTTGCTGATGGGCTCGCCTTCCTTCTCCTTCCCCACTACACCCGTAAAGAGAAATGCAAACACTGACCTGCCTCGTCCCCAGGTACAGCTTTTGAGAGCAAACACCGAATACGCTGCGTAGGCGCCCGGCGCGGGGATCCGGACGTGGCCCTGTCGCTTCCCGAGGTGACGAAGGGGTGGATGGGGCAGGAGCCAGAGGCCGTAGGAGGTGTGCTCTCCTGGAAACTGGTGTTTCTGTTCCCGAGGGATCCTGGGCTCTTGCGATGAGGGTTCTGCTCCTTGAGGAAAGAGCAGGGTGTTTTCAGATATTTTCCTGAGCAATTGTCAGCACTGAAATCTCCCCTTCAGCAGAATATCGTTATTCTAACGGTTTCTGGCATGTCCCTTGCTAGCCAGAGGTGGACATTGGATAGATCCCAGGAGGGATAAACATGGAGGTGGTGTAAACCCTTCCACGAGGAAGCTTCCATCTCTGCCCTGTCTTGTCTTTTCCAGCAGAAGCTTTGAAGCTGTTAAATCGCAAGCCCAGTTTGTTACAGCCCAAAGTTAACATTTTATAAAGACGCTTGTGAATTTTCTTTAAGCTTATGATATGAGAGATGTCTCCGTGGGACTTGGCCGCTCCTGTAGAAACCAAACAGAAATGTTTGCTGGGGCTCACTGTGGAGAGAACTGGGAATTGCTGCTTGTATTTCATTAAACCACAGACTGATTATAAACGCTGCTGCTTATGTGCTACGGGTATGAACGAGAATTTTTTTTTTTAATTATTTTTCTTTTGTCCGCAGGAAAAATAAAAAAAAAAAGAGAGACCTGGTCCCTCTGCCCCTTCTGCTGGTTTGATGCCGTGCGAGTGCGTGAGGCTTGTGTGGCCGTGGTCGGCGGCACGGGGTGGGTGCTCGTCCCAAAGGGAATTTGGGGAAGGGTCTCCAGGGGGTTCTGGGGTTACGACTGTGTCGGGCACAGCCTGGCTGCCCTTCTCCAACCAGAGCATCAAGCAGCTCTGAGAAAACAGAAGAGATACAAAATCCAAGAGCCGGAAAGATGCTGAAATAATTATTTTAAAAAGGAGGAGGAGCCAAGGGGGTGGTTTAAGTCCCCGTCCAGGGATTTTTGACAACATGGGCGAGGGTGGGGGCTGTCCCATGGTCTGCTTTCCCTGCCTGGGAGGGAAACGTGGGGAGGTGTAGGGCTGCTCCAAAAGCTGGACCTAGGAGCTACTGGCCTTCAAAGTGCTGACCTAATAGTGTGCATAATAAATGCAGAGTTTTGCTTATTAGCATAATACTAAATATAAAATTTTAAAAGAGATCTGTGACATTTATAGACCCCTTTCAAAAGACAGGAGCCGTGAGGGTTTTCTTTCCTTTCCGGTGCCCATACCCCTAATTCGGGTGACACCCTAATTCGGTGCTTTCCTCTCAGAAGAGACACCACAAGGAGAGAGCGTCTCCGCGCTCGCTGCGAACATCTGAGCGCCCAAATCCCTCTGATGGCGAACTAATACCTTTCATGCTGTTTCCAGTGTTCCCCAGATGCTAAGAAACATACTTAGTTCCCACGTGCTTTTCCGGGAATTTGGGCTAAACTGGGCAGCTTAGCCCAGCTAAGCTTAGCCGGGAAGAGCTGACTTTGCCCATGGGCACTGCGGCATCCCAGCTCCAGCATCCAGGAACGCCGTGCCGAGAGCGGCCGCTCCGTCCATCCATCCTGTGATGGCATCGCTGGAGCTCCTTCGGTATCTGGCTTCTTTATCCGTCCCCCCCCAGAGGGAGGAATCCCTTCTGCAGAGCTTCTCCAGGAGACTTTTACATCCTCTTTCCAGCTGGTCAGACCTGTTTATCGGAACGAAGATCTGGTGTGATAATGGGCCAGCGGGGACTTCGGCGTGAGCAGCTGCTGCCTCTGCCAATGAGTTACCTGCAGCCACAACTAACTAAGCCGAAGGCTTCTGGCAGAGCCAGCTCCAACCTTTTAAAACTTCTCCTTTAGGGCCAAACAGGGTTTTTCTCCCAAAGATTTACTTGGTGTGTTTGGGGTTTTTTTCCCCTTACGCTGAGCTCTCCATACCTGGTAGATGGTAGGAGGATTGGGAATGTTGAGTTTGACCCAAGGTAGGCAACGCGACGAGATGTTCTCTGCTTAAAACCAGCAGCACGTCATCTTGGGGGGCTGGTTTGGAGAGGAGCAACTGCTGCAGATGCTGCAAAAAAATTGGAGCTGAAAAAAGTCCTCCTCGATCTGGGGGGGGCTGAGGAGGGGTGTCTGCGGGGTGGAGGAGCCGAAGGAAAGGGGCACGTTGAGATCTCCTCCGGGAGCTCACGTCGGACATCCTCTAGCCACGGCTGCCTTTACGCTGCTCTTCCAATGCTCAACAAGGCTGAATTGCAATAAAATTACTGGAGTATTTTATCTAATTAGTTTAATTTCAAGGCAATTGGGTACAAACCATTAATTCAGCAGGGATGGCTGCTAGCCCAAGAGATGCACTAAAATGGAAGTGGTGAAAGATTGAAATGGTCCCACTGTAAAACCCTCTCCGCACCACCCGGTCCTGGGGAGGGAGGGGTGCCTGGCTGGGTTTTTAATAAAGGATGTGCAAAGCAAATTTATCTTGTGTTTTTTCTCCTGAT